AATAGGGAAAAGGTGCAAATAAGCCCTCGAACTAACCGAAAAAGTGCAAATCACCCTTTTTATAGGAGGCTCTGTCCGGCCGTCGCCATTTGGGGCGGTTCTCAGTGGAATTTTTTGATGATTTTTTTGAGCATCTTTTTCATTAATTCTAGTTTACCCATACCAAATTTCAGCTAAAAATTCAATCGGGAAGGCAGTCAAATAAATGTTTGAAGATAACTGCGCAGTTAAACAGCGCAGTATATTTCAGAAAATCATTTGACTGCCTTCCCGGTTGAATTTTTAGCTGAAATTTAGTATGGGTAAACAAGACTTAATGAAGAAGATGTTCAAAAAAATTCATCAAAAAATTCCACCGAGACCCGCCCTAAATGGCGATGGCCGGACAGAGCCTCCTAAAATGGGTGATTTGCACTTTTTCGGTTAGTTCGAGGGCTTATTTGCACCTTGTCCCTTTAAAATAAATCAATCAAGTTTTGAGTATCTTTTTTTATTTTTTCCTCCATATATTCTTTCCCTTGTATTATTGTGTACAAAACAGACCTTTAGTGCTCCAGGAGTGCCGAGTCCCATCCAACCCCACCCCACCTTACTATTTTGTCACTAAAGAGTGAGTGTGCATTGAACAGATCCAAGCCAAAGGATGAGTCTGGAGGATGTAGCAGAACATGAGTGGGTCATAGGAGATCAAGGCCGCATACCTGAGTACAATTGCTGGTGCCAGAGAGCAAAACTAACAGCAACGCCAAATGTCGTCTAGTAGCAGCTGTTTGTGTACCATTTCTTTTATTTTCCCATATTTCACCGTCATGTGTTTAAAGAAAGGTGAATGGTACGTGACTAGGGTGCTGTTTTAAAGCTCAGTAAAAAAACTGAACCAGGCAATGCTATAATTATGTAAGATAAAGATGACGCGACAATCCTTTGTTATTTAACTATATTGATGTTAGAGTTGATTCCCCAAATTCAATTACCCTAAAACAGACTTGTTATAGGGATGTGCTCAATTAAGCTGAAATTGTTAAAAAATAACTTATAAAATATATTTTTAAATATATTCAAAAATTTATTAGAAAAAGGATAAATAGCCGTCTTCTGTAAATTCAATGAGAGAAGAAACTTTAACTTTACATATTTGGATTATTTCACAATTTAGTGTGTGAAATCAAAAGTTTAGACCTCTTAAGTAATCCATATTTTTTGGCTTATTAGTTTTATCGGTCAATTTTCAATGAAATACTTAAATAAGTCCATGTTGGATTATGTAATAATCAAAATAAGTGAGACTAGAGTTACTTTTTTTATTGAATTGGTTGATGCTACATTGCTACATTACAAGATCATTTTATCTAGGAAAAAAGGTCAAATACACCCCTTAACAATACAAGAACCATCATCTAAATCTATTTACTAAAAAAGCATCAAATAAATACGTATACTTTGAAAAAACAATCATATCCACCAATTTACCTTATGGTAACTTTTTTGCCAGTCAATTGCTAATTTTTAATATTTGTTTTTATCTTTTTTTCTTCCTTTGTCTCGTCTTCCCTCCACCTCTTCTTTTCTTTTCTTTTTCTCCTACTTCGTCCATCATATTTCTACTACATACATGTTTATCAGAGTATCCATCGCCGTTGATAGGGATGGACTCGGGCCGGGTGGCCCGACCCGGAACCGGCCCGGGACCGGTACTGTTCCGGCCCGGCCCGACCCGGTGGCCCGGTCAGTGACCGGTCCGGGTAGGCCCGGCCCGTGGGTTTTCCGGTCCGGGCTCGGGTCACCCAAAACAAGGTCCGACCCGGCCGGGCCCGGGCCCGGTTCGGGCCAAAAACTATTTTTTTCTTCTTTTTTTTCAATTTTTTTAAATTTTCGGGTTGGGCTGGGTATTTTGGGCCATTTGGGGTGGTTTGGGGGGTTGGGGTTGGGGGTGGGAGGGGGTTAATTAGGAAGAGGAAAACAAAAAAAAATATAATGGGCCCGGCCCGGCCCGGACCCGGACCGGACCCGGTGGTTACCCGGGTCGGTCCCGGGTCCACCATTTCTGACCCGCCGGCCCGCCCGGGCCTAGGCCCGGCCCGGACCCGGCCCGGACCCGAGTCCATCCCTAGCCGTTGATAGGAGTCTTTCTGTACACTTGACATCCAAAAATTAACAATTCATAATTAAGCTCTAATTCTAAAAATCGAGAGATATATAGAGAGGGAGAGAGACATCAATGCGTTCTATTACAATCAAACCATCTCAATCCAAAATTAAACTAGATCGATATTACTCCATGTACGGACATGTGGAGAAATTAGCAAAAGAGATAAAGAAAGGTGTTGAAGCCAAGCTATGATAACCCAGTTGACACTTGACAGCCATGACATGTACATCTTGTTCATCACACTCCGATGCTTCAAATTACGTTGTCACCATCACCAAAAAAACTCAAGAGTGGTTGTGCTTAAGCTACTTTCCATAAATTTTAAAAAAGAGAAACAAAAAAGTAAAGAAAAATGAAGGAAACAAGAATAAGAAAAGAATAACAAGGGTATGATGAAGATGAAGCGGAAGAGGGGAGAGCTGGACGAACATGCTACCAAGAGAAAGAGAAAAATGAGATAAAAGATAAGAATGAAAAGAAAAAAATTAAAGAGTAAGTAACCGGCTAAAATGGGTCAACTTTCGGTAAAATGAAATATTTGATCGTTTTTTGCAAGTTAATGGATTTATGTGATTCTTTTTTTAGTAAATGGATTTAGATGATGGTTTTACAATTGTACAAGAGGTTATTTGACCTTTTTCTTTTACCTATTTTTTATATATGTTTTCTTTATTTTATTAGTAAAATATATTTTTAGTATATTTCCCACAATTCAACAGATTCAATTAATTCAGTTAGAATTTCATCAATTTTAATAGATTTCGTTGATTCAAACAATTTTAGAGTGAGCTGACTCCTAGAAATATTGCCATTTTTCGGGCCTCCGGCGCTTGGCTAATGAAAACATATTTTTGAAAAAATATTTACTTTGTTTTGTACCAAAATTTTTTTTGGAGGAAAATATTTTTACTCTTCTTGGGCTCCGTTTGTTTATCAGAAAAGCGGTTTGGATTAAAACTGCTAAATGATGTAATTTTAGTGTAAATTTGATGTTTTTATATTTCTTAATTTTTGAAATAGATATATAAAAGGAGTTGAACAAATAAAAAAATTTAAGTATCAAGTTAGAACAATATACTACGTATTTTTGTTCTGTTAAATAAATAAGTCGTATATTGTCGATGGCGAGCTTTTCATATTTACTTTCTTTATAAAAATATTTTGTTTATAATCAACCTTTTCATATTTACTTTCTTTATAAAAATATTTTGTTTCTTTATCTATATTTAGAAAAATAGAAGTATTAAGGGGTCTGGCTGGGGCGTTGCTGCCCAGTGTTGTTATTGTCGATGGCGATCTTCACTCTCAGTCAATCTCCTCTCATACCACTCGAACATCTCATTCATGTGGTCCTTTCGTCCTTCGTACGTTGTTGCTTCCCGGTGGTGACCATGTTTTTTAGTCAATCTCATCTCGAGCAACTTGAACAATTCATTCATGCGGTCCTTCGTTGCCGCTTCCCAGTGGTGACCACTAGGGGTAGTGGGTAGAAACCGCAAAATCAAAACCGAATCGAAAAAAACCCAAACCGCAACCAAAATAACCGAACCGCAAGAAAACCGAAATCGAATTAAAAACCCGAACCGAACCATAGTTGTTTGGTTTCGGTTTCGGTTTTCACATCTCAAAACCGAACGTATAACCGAACTTATTAAAACTAGTTACTCCCTCCGTCCCGAAAATGTTGGTCAAAGTTGACTTTCACGTGGATTAATAAAGTAAAAATTGTGTGGTTGAAATTTGTGCAGAGAAGAGATAATCAATTTTAACCACATATTCTTTACTTTAAATGGAAATGACAAATCTTTTTGGGACATCCAAAAAAGGAAATTTGGCCAACCTTTTCGAGACGGAGGGAGCATTTTATTTAATAATCATTAAGTACAATATTTTGTTTAGCTCTTAATTCTTAATTCTAGAAAATTAATTTTTGATATTAGATTTAATATGATTTGCAAGATATTGACATTTAATATTTATGATTTAATTAAGTGAAACACTTGTACATACATTTTAGTCCATTCCTATAATACTAATATGGTAGGAGTAATATTTATGATTTAATTAAGTGAAACATTTGTACTTGCACTTTTACATTTTCTATATGTTTGTTATCACATAGTTTTTTATATTGAACAAATATGTATTAATAAACGGAGAAGATGAGTCACGGGTTGCAAGTCACGCAGCAAACCGGTCGGCATTCACCACTGCCGGAAGCTCAGAATCAATCGAATCGCCCAAATTGCCCCTGCAATACAGATTTAATAGGCGGTGGCACACCTACAGTAGCTGAAACTTTCACAATTGCATCCCTATTCATCGGAATCGGCCCCCATCGTATCCTTAATTACCTTCTGAACGGATAACGTCGATGTCAATTACTCTCTATTCTGGTCTACACCGGTGGGGAGGAAGAAAAACTACTGAGGTTGCGGTGGGATGGTGGTGGGGTCTGTGCATCCAGTCTTCTTTCTACCGTGGCGGCTTTTTCCCAAGGATAGTCTAGATATCTGAATGTGGTGAATAGCAATTTGGGGACTGCGAATAGAATTACCTGTTCATCCGATTTAACGGTTCCATACTTCCATGTTCAACAAAAAATCATATTTTAAAAATATACGGATTCCAATTGGCCCGATTAGATGATTCAAAATTGTATATGTGTTGGGCCTATTTTGAATACTCATTCTGATCCGCTCGGACCTGATTCATTTCTAGATCGGTCCACCCGTGTCTCCAATTGTCACCAGCGTATGGCCCTATAGGGGGAACTTGGGCCGCCTCCTATGCTCAAGAATTTGAGATGAAAATAGGCCCAAACATGGCATCTGAGTATTCCCGTGATTCCTGTCGATATGCACTACGTCGAAGACTCAAAAGAGGCGGGCAGCAACTAAGCTCTAAGAGACGTAATTCTTCATATCTCAAGTTGGCGCCTCCTATCGACGACGGTAATACAGAACGCTGGTTTTCTTCCTGATATTTCTGCCTGAGTTGTTAGTTTTCTGCCTTTCGAATATCATGTTGCCGAGTTCGAAATAGCTTGTTCTTCACGGCTTATATACTTGCGATTATTTTTCATTATTCACAGTTCATCAGTTACCAAACAGATTCCTTCATGAAAACCAGAGTTTAATTTAGCTTGCTTTAACATGAAGAACTAACTTTGAATTGCAATAGACTTTGCAGCTGATTAAAATCAATTTATTGGATTGGATTTAATTTGCCATTGGAAATTTCTAAAAGAATCCAGAGAATTTCCCAAAAGGCCAAAAGTAAACATCATATGTTGTAATCATTTGTGCTATTTATTCGGGCAGTGTTTTTGATAAAATTGGTGATTTTTAATACGGAGTAGAATATTATAGGGCCTTCTATGTAAATACTCTTATTATTTATTAATATAAATATGATGCTAGGGCTCCTGATAGGGTAAGCCATTCTTTACTCTCAATTATTTTCTCACATGGTATCAGTAGACTAGGTTTCTTTCTCTACAACTCTAGCATCCGATGTCGACCAGCCCTACGCCGATCACCACCATGGCGCCCAACACCACGGTGCAGCCGCAAACTACCACTCTTCCGCCGAACACCACCAGTGTGGTGTCGCCTCAGGTGCCCGCCTTCACCATGGAGCAGCCTTCCCCAGGAGTATCTTTCTCGCCGCACTTATCTTCGGCGCGGCAGGTTATGCAGCCGCCTTCAATGAGTTCGTATCGTCTTTTCAACATGCCGGAACCCTTCTCCTGTACACCTACTGCTCCTACGCCAACTTTCCCGTCGCTTGCACCCGCCCTCACCGGATGAGTAAAATAATGTTTTGAGGTCACCAGTGGATGGAAGCCGAAAAGCTTACCACACAACTCCTTCATTACACTTCTTCTAAGCTGCTTGGACGCAACAACCCCCCTGGCCGCAACTCGTTTTTCTGGTCCCACCTTCACGGGACAGCCGGGTCTCTCTCCGCTGGATATACCGTCGTCCTCATGGCCCTCTAGCTCCACCACGGTAACATCATCTCAATTGACTACGTTAGCTTCTCAGTTACAATTTCAAACCCCAATGTTACTAATATTGTTACCACAAAATTGGATACGGTGGAAGATTATTTACCTTGGCGCACACAGTTTGAGTCGTTTTTAGTGTCGCATGGTTTATTGGGTATGGTTGATGGTTCTGTTGCTGCTCCGTTATCATCTAATCCTTATTATCATTCATGGTTTAAAATTGATCAATCTGTTAGATCATGGTTGTTTGCTACCCTCTCCTGCAATATTTTAATCGAGGTTCATTCTTTACGATTTTCTATGTTAATTTGGGAACGACTAGAAACTCTTTTATGGCTGGTAGTATTGCTAGAGGTATAGAACTTAAATGACTTTTATCCTCTTTAAAGAAAAAGGAAGATCAGTCCATGGATGATTATTTATGTGAGGTTATTGTTTTGACGGATGCCTTGAATGCCATTAATTCTCCTGTCAGTCATCTTGAATTACTTCAGTCCACAATCCAAGGTCTTGGACCGGAGTATGAATCTGTTATTACATCTGTCACCCTGTTCCCGGATAGCTTCACGTTTGACACCCTTCGTCCGCAATTGATGGCGCTGGAACAACGAGTATTATTTATCCGTTCGCAAGCCTCTGTTCCAGGTCATCAAGCCTTCGCAGCCTATGATGCTGCCGCGGCAAGACCTCAAGGCCGAGGGGGTGCCCAGGCTCGCGGTAATGGAGGACGGGGCTATCGTGGGGGCGGTAGAGCTCGTGTTCACCGGGGACGAGGCCGTGGCTACGGTGGCCAGCAGCACGGCATACAGCACCAGGGAGCAGCACCGTTCTTCGCTCCACCTGCTGGGCAGAATGGTTGGCAGCAGCTCGGCAGTGCTCAGGCGGGTGTTCCTTTCCCAGTTCGAGGCCATGCTCCGGCGGGATTTCGAGGTACGGCGTATGGTAATATTGGCGATGGTTTATCTTGTATTAAGCATTTATCATATTATAGTACTCACCCCTCATTCAGCTCCAGCTTGCTCTCGTTTTGCTCATGCTACCCCTACATTGGCGGCTATACCTACAGGTGAAACCAATGCCTTGGTGTGGTATCCAGACTTTGGGGCCTTCGCTCACATGACTCCGCATGAAGGTATTTTATCTTGTAAATCTACTTACACTAGACCTTTTTCTGTTCAAGTTGCCAATGGTACTAATCTTGTTGTTTCTAATATTGGTAATGTGAGTCTAACAACTGCCACTCGCTCCTTATTATTAAAATCAGTCTATCATGTTCCGCATATTAAATATAATTTATTGTCAATTCAATGTTTATGTGCGGATAATGATTGTTCTGTTATTTTTAATAAAAATTCTTTGTTTGTTAAGGACAATCAAACAGGAGCCACACTTCTCCAAGCCTCCAATGGGGACTCCATCTATCCTTTTAGAGCATCTTATCAGCCACCCTCATCTCTTGCCTTAAAGACTTCACTCGTTCCTGGCTCAGTTTGACACAAACGTCTTGGTCATTGTGGGGATCGTATTTTAATGTCTCAGGAAAAATAATTTAATTACTAGTAATAACATTTTTTCTCATGATTGTGTTTCCTATAAACTGGGCAAGTCCCATCGCCTTCCTTTTCAAGATGCTACACATGATTTTACTGCTCCTCTTCAGTTAATTCATTCAGATGTTTGGCAATCTCCTGTGTTATCTAATTTGGGTTTTAAATATTATGTTTCCTTTATCGATGATTTTTCTCGTTATACCTGGGTTTATCCAATGCACAAGAAATCTGAGGTTTTTAGTCACTTCTGTAATTTTCAAACTCTTGTAGAAAATTTATTTGACCGCAAAATTAAGTGTTTTCAAAGTGATGGTGGAGGTGAATTTGTTAATTCTGCCTTTAATAATCATTTTCTTAATTGTGGAATTCTTTTTCGAAAATCTTGCCCGGATACTCCTGCGCAAAATGGAGTGGCTGAACCTAAACATAGACACTTATTGGAACTGTCCCGTACTATGCTTATTGATGCTAATTTTCCCTCTCATTTTTTGGTAGATGCTCTTTATACTGTTGTGTTTATAGTTAATCGTTTGCCTACTCCTAATTTGCGCATTTAGTCTCCGCTTGAGATACTTTTTCATGATTATCAATTTTCACGTGTGTTTGGCTGTGCATGCTTTCCGAATATTATTGCTAATTCCTCAAATAATATATCCCCGCGATCCACTCCTTGTGTCTTTCTGGGTTATGCTCCGGGATATAAAGGCTCTCGTTGTCTTGATCCCTACACAGGTCGGGTCTATGTGAGCAGAGACGTCATTTTTCTAGAATCCACCTCCTTAAAACCCCTACCCCTACGGCCTTACCTCTCGGCCACCTACCCTTCCCCCTTGGACACTTCCCTGTATGCATGTAACCAACCCTACGCCCAACTGCCAGCCTAACTCCCTTCCCGTTACCACCCAGTTGCCACTGACTACCCCTTCCTCTCCCTCCACACCAAACTCACCCCTTTCCATCACAGGGCAGTCTCCCCCTCCCTCCCCAACCGCTAACACTACGCCTCTACTTAGTCACACATCCTCACCTCCCACAACCTCACCAAGCCGCACACCCTCACCAACACCATCTCCATCTCAGCCGCCTATTTCCACTTCCGTGGCTCCTAATGTGCATCCGATGCAAACACGCGCTAAAGATGACATTTTAAACCCAAAAATATTTTCACTTTAAATAATTTTGTTTTTCCTAATGACCCTACTTGTTTTTCACAATCCAATAAAAATATATCTGGCGGGCTGCTATGGCAGAAGAATTTAACGCTCTCATTGCTAATAAAACATTGAATTTAGTACCTTGTGACAAGAGCCAAAGTATTGTTGGGTGTAAATGGATTTACAAGACGAAATATCGTTCTGATGGGTCTATTGAGCGACATAAGGCTAGGTTAATAGCTCAAGGTTTTAACCAACAGGCTGGGGTAGATTTCTATGAAACATTTGTCCAGTGGTCAAACCCACTACAGTTCGTCTTGTGTTGTCAGTTGCTATCTCATTGGGTTGGTCAGTCCGTCAGCTAGATGTCAAAAATGCCTTCCTTCATGGTCGTCTTACTGAGGAAGTATACATGCGTCAGCCACCAGGTTTTGGTTCATCCCTCTTATCCCTCTCACATATGTCGGTTGCGAAAGGCACTGTACGGGCTCAAGCAAGCTCCACGTGCTTGGTTTCATAGGTTTAGTGGCTTTCTTTTTTCTCATGGCTTCTGTCAAAGTCAATCTGACTCCTCCATGTTTACTTATCGTTATCAGTCCCACATTATTTACATATTGTTATATGTGACGATATCCTTATCACTGGTAGCTCCTCTTCCTTTGTTCGTCACTTTATTCATATTTTATCCAGTCAGTTTGCTATGAAAGATTTGGGGGACATCCATTACTTTCTTGGTATTCAAGCTTGTTGTACCCCCAAGGGCATGTTTCTCTCCCAACAAAAATATATCATGATCTTTTGCATCGTTTTCATCTTCATACGGTGAAACCAGTCCGTACACCGCTCCCATCTCGCACTACGTTGCCTCTCACAGATGGGGATCTCTTAAGCGATGCTACTGAGTACCGTAGTATGGTAGGTGCCTTACAATACTTGACTATTACTCATCCTGATATTACTTATGCCGTACATTTGATTTCTCAGTTTATGCATGCACCTCGTACTACTCATCTTGCTGCTGTCAAAAGAATATACAGATACTTACAAGGCACTACTACTCACGGCTTATGGCTTCGTTCCGGACAGAGTATTTCAGTCATAGTTGCATATTCTGATGCTGATTGGGCAGGATGTCCGGATAGTTGTAGATCCACCACTGGGTATGCTGTTTTTATTGATGGGAATCTTATTTCTTGGAGGTCTAAGAAACAGCCCACGGTCTCAAAATCCTCAACAAAAGTTGAATATCGGGCAGTCTCATACACTGTGCAGGACACTCTTTTCATCCGCTCTCTGCTCGCGGATATGGGGATTTACATATCTACACCAGTTCAGCTCTTTTGCGATAATGTGTCTGCCTCCTACCTTGCAGTTAATCCTATTCAGCATGACCGCACCAAACATATCAAGATAAATTACCATTTTGTTCGTGAACTGTTGCACATGGAGATCTAGCTGTCAAGTACATTCCTACACAATATCAGTTGGCAGATATTTTTACTAAAAACTTGAGTAGCCAGCGTTTTGAATTTTTACGTTCCAATTTGCACATGATTCCCCTTGCACAGATTGAGGGGGTGTAATAGAATGTTATAGGGCCTTCTATGTAAATACTCTTATTATTTACTCCCTCCGGTCTCAAATGAAATTCACACTTTGACTTCACACAAATTAAGGAAATAAATTTGACTTTACTGTTGTGACACTGTTTGACACTGTTTTGCACTGTTTTGATGTAGATAATTTGCCAAATAAGGAAGGGAGAAGAAGTGTGAAGTTTATTTTGGACCTACCCAAAAAGGAAAGTGTGAATTTTATTTGGGACCGGAGGGAGTATTAATTTAATATGATGCTAGGGCTCCCAATAGGGTAAGCCATTCTTTACGCTCAATGATTTTCTCACAATTTTAAAAGGAACAATATAAAATGAAATTAGAGATAACAACCTTCAGTTAAAAGGGACAAAGGGTAATTGAAAAGTCATGCTTTAGTTAAGATTTTGAAGACTAATTGCCTTGTTGGAGATCAATTAGAACACCAAGTTACTACAGCCAATATTCTTACAAAAGTAATACTTTATGTCCATCTTTTTATTGTATGTTTAATTAAAAACATTGTTGAATCAACTTTTGTTATTTTAATAGATCCGTGTGGAGTTTCACACACAGGCTGCCAAAAAAAACCCACAGGACTACATCGCCTTATCTTTGAACTGAGAGGACAGGCACAAGGAAGAAATGGCAGTTGGGGTGTTAGCTTTACAGGGGTCTTTTAACGAACACATATCAGGTATATTTCTTTTATGATTCAGCCTTTTCTTTTCTAAGTGAATGAATGAATGTTCTTCTATTTGCTGGGTATGGACTGTTTAATGTTATTGGGCAGCTCTGAGGAGGCTTGGAGTGAAGGGAGTAGAGATAAGGAAGGCAGAGCAGCTGCAGAGCATCTCCTCCCTCATCATCCCGGGCGGTGAAAGCACCACCATGGCTAAAGTCGCAGAGTTTCACAACCTGGTTAGCTTACCTCCCTTTGCAGACTCATATATGTTTCTTTTAATGTGCATACATGGATATTGGGTTGATTATATATGTATGCTTCTTCTAGGATTCATCCCAATTTCGTTCAAATGATAGTTGGGTTATATTCTGCAAAATTTGAGAATTTCACTTCCCTAGTGTGTGAATTTATTCATTGTGGAATCTATGCCAGTAGACTTGAACCAGATCACTGAATAGAAATATGTGGCATATTTTGAGTATTAAATTATGATTCTACGTCCATCCCTCATAGATAGTCTACTACTCGTATTTTATTGCTGCACATTGAGTTAAGAAATGATTAATATTTTAGAAAATCCTCAAAATAGGAGAAAAACGTAGAAACAGTTCTAAAATAGGACTATGTATGTTTTCTTTCCAAAATAGGATTTATTAGGTCCTATTAAAAAATATTTCGTAAATAACAGTGCATAAGTCCTATTTTGCGAAGAAAACAAATGTTTTCCTATTTATGAAAATTTTCTATTCCCTTCGTCTCATTCAAAGGTTCTCACTCTCCTTTTTGGGATGTCCCAGCTAAAGTTCCCATTTTCTATTTTAGGAAACAATTAACACTCTTACATAACAATTAAATCATCAAGTATTAAAAATAATACATCTATAACATCACACTTATCATCAATAATCTATTATATTATAAACCCATCAAAACTATTTCTCAAAATATACTCGAATTAGCATATTTAGTTATGGTCTAAATAATCGTGCCTTTTTGCAATGGGAACCTTTGAACAGGAGAAATGTGATATCTTTTACTCATTTCGGGAATTTTCTCTTAATATTTTAGTTGAAAGAATGACCTTTGAATGCAATTCTCATTTTTTCCCTTTTTTAAGTTCAGTCTTGTAATTTCTGTGTAGTCCCCTTAACATTTAATTTTGATGTTGGTGATTAAGTAGGAGAAATTTGGAAATGAGAAATTCTACAAACCCAATAAAAAAGTGGAATATATATGTCTGATAAATGAAAATGAAACAGTGGACTATCTTTGTGGGCAATATGGTACGGATGGACTATCAAAATTTCATATTTCTGGTAGAGAGTTAAAAGTAGAAGAGCATATGCTAATAAATATGAAAGCCCATTGATGGCTTACAGAAAAAACACGGACTTCCAAGAAAACCCTCCAGCAAGATAACATCTGGTCTTGACCACGTCATTTATATTCTGGTCAATAGCTATGCTATTCCTAATCAAGACATTCTCCCTTGTTCTTGTAAAAGTGGTTCTATTTATAGCCTTAGAAGATAATATGGAAGGTAAGTAATAAATTAAATATCAATCAAGGATTAATGAGATCCCAAAAATTATGTTTAGAAGATCCAAAACCCATGCTAATGAGACCACACATTCTCTACTCAATTTATTAAATTACATTTCTTTGCTGTCATATGCACTCTAATATTTTCTTTAAAGACTATGAGACTATCTCATCAAAATGAGAATAGGGTACCTTAGCTTTCCGTTTCACTTCCTTTTATGGTTCTTCTGTCTTGATTGGCATGTTTCTTTACTTTCACATCTGAATCAATGCCTGGAATGGATCTATCTTGTAGCTTTATTATTGTTAAAATTGCAGTTTCCCGCATTGCGTGAATTTGTGAAAACAGGGAAGCCAGTTTGGGGAACTTGTGCAGGCCTAATTTTCTTGGCAGATAAATTAATCGGTAAGTGCCTATTGCTTGATTATTAGTAAACTGGTTGTGTTTGCTCTTACTTTTGAAATTCTTTGAGATGTTTTTTCTTTAGAGAAGAGCTTTATTACAATTATGGGTTTCTTGAGATGTTTTGTGCTTGTTAAACTTTACATTTTGTAGTCTATCATTATTTTCCTTTCTTTTTCCTCAGGGCAGAAATCCGGAGGGCAGGAACTGATTGGTGGTCTTGATTGCACTGTACATCGCAACTTTTTTGGAAGCCAGGTAACTCATACATGTACTACTCCCTCCGTCCCTTAAAACTTTGCCAAATTTGACCAGCACGGGGATTAATAAAGTAAAATCTGTGTGGGTGAGGTTTGTGCAGAGGAGAGAGAATTAACTAGAACCACAAATTCTTTACTTAAAAGGGAAAGTGGCAAAGTTAGTGGGACATCCAAAAAGGGAAAGTTGGCAAAGTTTTAAGGGACGGAAGGAGTATTTCCTTCCACATTCAATGCTTTAATACTTGAAAGGATGGTGACTACAAGAAAAAATGACTGGTAAAGTGGTAATTGATGTAGTGATAAAACTCAAAACTTTTGCAATATTTCCTTCCACATTCAAAGGCAGAACTAATGATGTTGAGAAGATCTCACACTCCTGAAAATGGTTTTAACAGACTACTTTGCAATATTATAGGAAGGCACACAATTTTTTAATATGAAAATATGAAATGCTGTTATGCATCTAGTTCACGTCACCTGAGATTGTATAGGGCATTGAATATTTAATGTTTACTCGTCTTCTTATGATATATTATTATTCACTCCGTGCAAAAAACAAAAATCTGCATTTGTAATATTGTGCTCCCTCCGTCCCATTTTACAATCCCATTTTCCTTTTTGGATTGTCCCAAAATAAGTGTCACATTTTCTTTTTTGGAAAGAAATATGTGGTCTATAGCATTTCACTTTATTATAATCAAACCTCAACCACAACTTTTACTTTCTCAACCACTTCATTAATAATTGTGTCAAAGCAAAGTACGACACATAAAATGGGACAGAGGCACAGAGGTAGTAGTAGTAGTATTACTAAGGCTAGGTTTGTTAGCCATATCTATCTTATCATATTGTTTGACATAATAAGCAGCTTTTGATTTATTTGGCTGAAACTGATATAAACAAATGTTTTCCCTTGAAAAAAATCAGAGAGCAGCCATTTTGTCTAAATAACTCTTTCTAAATGGGCTCTAAAACTCGAACTAAAATTTTCAATAATAACATTTGTCATAACAGCTGCAAAGCTTCGAGACAGAGCTTGCTATTCCAAAGGTTGCAGCCAAAGAAGGTGGTCCCCCGACGTTTCGTGCTGTTTTCATTCGTGCGCCTGCAATTCTGCAAGTTGGTCCAGATGTTGAAATTCTGGCAGATGTTCCATTCCCATCCACAAAAACTGTGGATTCTCAATCTTGTACTCAAGACCAACAACAGGTGAGAACAAGGCCTTCGGTCCTTCAGAACTCTTTTGCACCCTTTCAGTCCATTTGTCTATCACCCTGTTTTTGCCATTTGGTTTAACATTTATATAATTTAGCATTAACATTTAGATTTTAGTTGAGCATGACATGTCATCTTTCATTTTTTAGTAGCTGTTGCTAGATCGCAGCGCCACAGCGGTCATATTTTCATTTTAAGGATGGCCTAGCTGAACTAATAATCCCTCCAACCAGCACCGTGTGACAACCTGGCCAAAACAGAACTGCCCATGCATAACCAATCCATCCTTTTGTGGTTTGGTTAATAGTTTAAGGTTTATGCTTTATAAACCAGCATAACTGGCCAAAACTACGCGAATCGACAACACCGACTGCAACTGACAAAAGCACAACTGAGATAGGTTAAACCAAACCAACCAAATCAAAACCCGACTGGCAAACATGCTTACCGAACGACACCCGATGAAATGACCTAAACCGGAACAAAACCCCCTTTTTTATTAACTGTGAAAATGCATATGAATGAATTAATATCCTGCTCACCCCAATTTTGTACATGATGGAGTTTTGGTTTAGCCCCTTGTCTGCTATGATCTCAAGTACTGTACTAGAACAGTACTATTTAGGATCTTAAGTTTCCCAACAGCATGTGTGTTGTTATGATTTCTTTGATTTCACTACTTCCTAGGGGTCCCATTCCAGACTTGGAAAGTTTTGGGGAATGTAAATAGGAAGAAAAATTGATAAGAAAGAAAATATGTGGAAAAATAAAAGACTGAATGTAATAAATGTTAATACCCATTTTATTTTTTTACGTGAAATATGACAGACTAGGAAGTCTGAATATGTGGAGAACTTTAAAAGAATGAACATATTTTATTTTTCTTTTCTCTTCCAAGGTAAAACTAAACATAAGGACATTTTTTTGGCATTTGTTGCCTTCCCCTTTGCCTTTTCATGAATCCAAACAATACCCTAATACACATCTTTAAATGGTATAGTTTAAACAGGAATCTCTTGCGCCTGAAGAGAGAGTGATTGTTGCTGTAAAGCAAGGGAACATGCTAGCTACTGCTTTTCACCCTGAACTAACTGCTGATTCTCGGTGGTAATTATACATGCTCCTTGATTATTACTCTACTATTGTTATTGTTGTGATTAATATATTATAAATATAGTAACAGTAATAACATTATTACGATTATTATTATTATTATTATTTAGGTATTAATTTTGTTCTTGTCATAGGCATAGTTACTTCTTGAAAATGGTGCCTGAAGATGGAGAAGGAGCTTCAAGTATCATCTCAACTGTTGATTTACGACCAAGAACTGAGCTTCCAGTATTTCAATAGGATCAAATAGTAAAAGCATTGCTATGAAATTGTGACTTTTTTGGGGGGTAGTATTTATGTGTTTTGCATATGCTCAGATGATTATTGTATCTTTGGGAATCTCCTTAGTGGAACATATATGTACTCTTCTTAAAATTCTTAAATTTATTAATTGCTGTGTTTTAATAAAAAGGGGAAGCGCCAAAATCTGGCTGTTTACTTGAGTTCAACAAATATGATTTTCACTATTACGCAAGAGAATCACACAAAACATTTGTTCCTTTGCCAGTTTCAAAATATCATTACTGTCTGGACCATCTTCATTTCATACATTTATTTTATGATTTCTATTGAAGACCGGAATTGACTCAGTTTTTTATCGGTTGCAGTCCGGTCCAGGGTACCGGCCGGTCCTGGTTCCTGTCCCGGGCCAACACCCCTTAAAAAAATATTCAGCTAGCCGTTGGGACTTGGGACCGCCCGGTCCAGTCCCCAAATATTGTACCCGGGCCTGCCGGCACCTGGTCAAGTATCTGGTCATGAACTGGGACGGTAAAAATAAACCCGGTGCGGTGCGGTCCTACATAGTATTGGACCTGGTTCCGGGCTGGGCCAGACTGTCAGGCCGGGTCCACCCCTAACTATAACTTTTTCAAAAAAGCACCTATGTGAAAGACTGAAACTATTAGGCTATAACTATGTATTGGATAAACTCCCGCCATGTGACCATAGCCAGCATAGAATCATAAGGTAAACTAGAGCAGCTTCACCTGAGCAATTGAGCTAAGTGGCTCAACCAAGAAGGTTATTTGATAGTTGCAAGATCCAAACCGGCTTTGAAACAAAGTGAAGACAAAATAGTACATTTTCATTTTCATTTACCCTAGTGCCGCAAAGGCTCCCACCTACGGTGGGGTAGGGGAGGTCAGATGTACGCAGTCTTACCCTTGTACTAAAGTACAGAGAGACTGTTTCCGGATGACCCATATTAAAAATCTCGTCCAAAATTGCATGGACTGACTGCTGCTTCATGACAAAGAAGCGCAAACAGTTTAGTGAGCCATTGTACTAGGACCAAATGTTTGGGAGTTGGGATTGTGATAAGCGTGGGGAGGTCATGGATTGCTCAGAATAATATGATAACTTCAAAATCTATCATTATCCAAATAGATTTTCTTTTGCTTTCTCTAATGTATAGCAAAATAAAGATTTGGTTTTCTATATGTATGTGACTTTTCTAGCAGCGGGCATATAGATAGGGTTGGCCTTGGATTTGGTGGTTCCCCCACCCTGAAACCATTACCGCTACTAGAGCAGCAGAGTACTACGTAGTACTCTGCTGCTCTAGTAGCGGTAATGGTTTCGGGTGTTTGACAAATAAGAGCAGGTTTCTAACATTCCATTCCAAAAAGTGTATGTTTTAGAAATTGACTTGCCTCACTCTAAATTAATTATTTTTCTTTTTTGAAGCTTAATAACTTTTCATTGTTTTACAAAAAATATATTAAAAATCTTAACTTTTTATAACCTTTCATATGACACCAATATTGTATATATAAAGTTTAAAAAAACTTCTAGGATCTGAAATTTCTTAGGTAGATTTGAGTGATAAAATTGAGATTGAAGTGATAAATTCAAGATCTCACGATTAATGTTTTTACATCTTTCAATTATTCTTTTCAAAAATAGGCTTGAAGTAATAATAAAAAAAACTAAATGACAAATTTACATAATTTACATTGGGATTGTTTGAATTTTTAAATCATAATAATTCGTAAAAAGAATAAAATCGATTATAATAATAATCGTAAGGATTTAATTTACAAATATTGTCGTGAGTGAATAAGTGTAAAATATCATGTGATCTGAATGTTAGTACTTGGATCTATTTAAAAAAAATTTGAGTCTAAAAACTCCAACAGTTCAAACTTTTTTAAAAAAAAACTTTATATATGTGATATTGATGTCATATGAAAGATAATTAAAAATCATGAGTTTTGATATATTTTTTATAAAAAATGGAAAACAAATGCAAAAGTTATAAAAATTGTAAAATTTAAGGGATTTATTTTGTTAAGGGTCCCACAACATTTTGTCATGTACAATTTTTTACAGTTTTTGGAATGGTTTTCACAAAAGTTGCACTCTTCCGTCATTCCAGTACGTAAAAATGAGGAATTAATGGTGGGAATAAAATGAAAATGTCCGATTGTGATTAAGTAAGAAAAAGGTAAATAAATATTAGTCACACAAAACTTTTCAAAAAGAGAAATGAAAAGATTTTTTGGGACATCCCAAAATGGTAAGTGGGAAAAAAATTGTGGAACTAATGGAGTATAACTTATACTCCGAATTATTTATACAATTAATATTTTCTTATTACATTACACAATGTTATACGGAGTATATCATTAAAATATATACTATTATAGTTTTAAAATTACATTTATCGAACATGATACTATATTGTAATATTGTACACAATATATATCTATTATTATAAAAATTATGTATAAAATAAAAACAGAATCGATAATATTATTAGCAAATTACAGAATCTCAGCTTACCATGTATTGTAAGTGATTGTTACCGAGTATGTATAATACATTAGTGAACTGTAAACTTTCCCGTATAAGGACTGGTTATTTTAAATTTTATAATTACAGTTGCACATAACTGAAGAGCCAAACATTGATACATGAGCTTTATTTGGAGAAATACTATACTATATGTTTCGACTATACGTGTAATGCCATTCATGCACATGATGCTTCAACTGCTAAACTCTTTGTAATTCCCACACATGGGTCACCAAATGTATTGATTGACACACCAACAATGCAGCTTCTTGTTCCAAGGCAAGCCTGTAATCATATTTTTTTTGGATTAACTAAAATGTTGACACAAAGTTATAAACTTAAGTAGTTAAATCAAGAGGAAGAGTTGGTCTTTAACCTTTTCTAGAATGGAAAGAGCATTGCTGCTCCTGCATTTGCCATGGCTATAGCTTCCACATCTCCCTTGAGGGGTGCCAAAGCTTGCAAAGTTGATTGAAGATATGAGCTGATTAGGAAGAGGGCACTCAAGAGACATGGTGGGCCCCGCTTGCATTCCTGCATCTTCTTCTGAAGGAACCCACATGTCTATAGGGGTTGGATGAGATTCTGAAATTCTTGAGCATACACTTGGTGTCTCTCTGGTAACAAATGATATCTTCGTTGGATTTCCACCCGCTTCCTCGAATAAAACCAGCACATTTCCGCTTGGCTTTAGCCATGAACGAGGAACATGGTAACTGCAAGATTAGTCTAAATCTGGTTAATGACAAACATATGATTTTGGTAGAGTAATATAATGTTTTTATTTGAGGAAAAATTGACCTTTAATAATCTCAACTATGACCGGTCTTCTTTAACTTAATCTCAACTATTGAGTAATGTTGTAAAAAACTCAGGTGACTTGTCTTAAACGATAACTAGAGCTACAAAATTTATTTTAGCTTCGTTTTTATATTCAAGTTGCTTTTTCACCTCCCAACTACTTTGCAAATATCAATTCCTAGACATACAAGATGTCATAAATATGACATAAAGTTAATGCTGATGATTAGCAAAATATGTCATAAATTTAAGGCAAAATTCATACCAATAATCCATACTTTTAATGGTTCTACAATAATAATCTCTACTGAAGATGTCTACATAAATAATCCATACTCATAAACACGTCTACATAGATCATTTTTTTTCATTTACCCCAGTGCCGCAAAGGCTCCCACCTAAGGTGAGGTAAGGGGGGGTCGGATGTACGCAGTCTTACCCCTGTACTAAAGCACAAAGAGACTGTTTCCGGATGACCCATAGTGAAAATCGCGTCCAAAATTGCATGGACTGACTACTGCTCAATAACAAAGAAGCGCAGACAGTTTAGTGAGCCATTTTGCTTTATTCCATCATAATCTCAAGCCAAAAAATAATGAATCTTTGGCTCCATTGCAAATATATTAGATTAATTAGATTAATCTTTTTGATACTCCCTCCGTCCCGAATTGAATTGCAAACTTTGACCGGCACAAGGATTAAGAAATGACAATAAATTATGCTTGCTTTTTACACTTTTGCCCATCTTTCTAAAAGTAGATGCCTTTAAGTTAATGGAGAAAAAGTAAAAGAAAGGGTAAATTTGTCACTTTATTCTTATTTACACACCTAAAATGGAAAGTGGAAAACCATTTTGGGACAACCAAAAAAGGAAATTTTGCAAATCAAATTGGAACGGAGGGAGTATTTAATATATACGGATACAGTATTGACTTTGTTCACCATTGTCATAGATTTGAGTTTAGTGTTTTTTATATCATTACTATAATTATTTTCTTGAAGGATAATAATCTATCTATGAAGGTTTAATCTATCTATGTAAACACGTTTACGAGTTTGGATTATTTGTATTGACTTTTTCAGTGGAGATTATTATTATAGAACCACCAAAAGTATGGATTATTGATTTATTGGTATGAATTTCACCTAAATTTAATATTCTTTTTTTAAACAAACATAAAGTTTCAAAGTTTATATACCAGGTATATATTTTTAACTCTGAAGTTGAAGATTAAATTTTGATAAAGTAGCACTAAATATCAATATATCAATAATAAGAATGCTATGTGTATTTAGGTTTTAACTCAAAAATGGCTTAAATAGAGAACGCTTAGTCATGTTAAATGGAATTACTTTGTAATAATTGATAGTTGGGATTATTTAAAATAGACCGATATTAGTTGTAATTATTCTATTCAATTGAGAATCTTTCCATCATTTGCAATGGAGACAAAGATTCATTATTTTTTTGGCTTGAGATTATGATGGAATAAAGCAAAATGGCTCACTAAACTGTTTGCGCTTCTTTGTCATGAAGCAGCAGTCAGTCCATGCAATTTTGGACGGGTTTTTTACTAGTGGGTCATCCGGAAACAGTCTCTCTGTGCTTAAGTACAGGGGTAAGACTGCGTACATCCGACCCCCCCTTACCCCACCGTAGGTGGGAGCCTTTGCGGCACTGGGGTAAATGAAAATGAAAAAAAAAATTACTCTTTTATATTAAAGAAGTAAAAGCCAGTTACGCGGTTTGAGATGGTTTTCCACAGTGCTTGAGGCATTTGCTGTCATCATAATGTCCCTTGTAGTTACAAGAATCTGTGCAAGCTGAGGTGGTTGAAGCAACATATGTTGGCCAATACCGTCCAATGCTTTCACCATTGACCCATGCTTCACCCTTCCCCATCCCAGTGAAATCTATGGCAACAGGATTATCACCACCTGGTGCCTCAAAACTGGTCTAAAAGAACAACAAAATATTTCAACCACAGCTTATTGCAAAGAGAGTTAATGTTATTGTATGCTAATTTTTACCATTAACATGCTTCCACCAGACGATGGCTAAGTATAAAAGACATATCTCGATATCAGTACGCTCATTTTTTAGAAATACGAAGACAGTATTGCTCTTTTTATGAACTTCATGTACTCAATACAATATAAAGGCTTCAGTTACATCTCAAAAACTCAACAACGAATAGTCATCGCTTATGTTCTGACTTCTGATTTATATTCTTATTTGTGTTCCATGTGGAATGACTATAGTTTCAGACTTTTAGGATATGAAAACAATAGTAACTGCCAAAATGACACTGCACATGTATATATTAAATTTCAAATAAGGGGAAAATGGCATTGCAGTAGCTGTTATAAATCAATAGTATATTGCTATTCAAAATGCAAACAGCTCGAACGAAGTTTAAGATATTACCTTATACCATATTAATGGTTGATTTGTGGGAAAACTAGAATCTGATGTCCAGAGTGATGATACTCCATCGGACAAGCTTAACTCTTCCCCTTTAAGTCCAATCTGTGATTTCAAAAGCAGAAATGATAAGTGGAAAGGTATGTACTAATTCATAGCCTTTTTTACTTGCGCAGGCACTAGAATGATAAATTGCATAGCAATCTAAGGAAAAATGAGAAACACTGAAGAAGATGGCTACAAATTCTTGGAATTCGGTATTTTCAAGACACGGGTTTCCACTTAAAAATAGCCCAACACCTTATTTGTTGAGTTGAGTGTTATTCTTTTATAGATGTGGGATGGTTTAACAATAGTAACCTGATATGTCCATTGCTGTGAAGAAAGATCAGCTATTAAGCTACCATTTGAACCTTTCAACTGCACAGGACCGGTAACCCCTGCCCCTCTTAAATCATAATGCGCTCCATAATTCTGTAACCAAATGCAAATTTATGTTAAATAACAATTTTTCTTGCAAAAATGGTTGTAACTCGTAAGTATTTACATAATTGTGATAATGCCAATTAATCAGCCTGGAATCCAAATTGTCAAACCTGCAGTCCAACTGTCAAACTTAAGAGATCAATTTTATTTGTCCCTTGTAAAAGGTTGATGGGAACATCTAACGTTACTTTGGAATTTCCGCTATTTCCCTTTCCACTGCCTGGAAAACACTAGTAAGATATTCAATATATGACAATCAATGAAACTAATGATCAGTGTTGAATATCATATACGCTTGGTGTTTGTGACCAGATTTATTCCTGATATTAGAAATGAAAATAATACTTGCCTACTACTATCTCCATTCCTAAAAAATGAGTCATGTTTGAATGCTCATTTCAGTATTACAAACAAAGCTCTGTTTTTAGGACGGAGGGATATATATTTATTGTTCTGAAGGAAAAAAATAAAGAAAAAGTAATCTTGTGGCATTGTCCATATGACTTCACCTGAATGGATTCCATTAACAAAGGCATGCAGTGCATGACCAAGTGATTGGACGTGAAGAACTGCTTGTGATCCATCTTCTAGGAAAGGTTCATCACCTTTGATATCAATACTACAAGATGCAGAAAAGTCTTAGGGGAAAGAAATTAGGGTTAGTTACATCAAACTGCATCAAGCCTTGGTTAAATTACAAAATGACTTGAGGTTTCAGAATATGACAATTGACCCTTGAGCTATAAGATTGAATTATGTTATAATACATTTTATTGGCTAAATTATTTAAAGTTCTTGCCGGGACAAATAGACAAATAAGCACTAGCTAGAGTCCATACCGGACAAGACATGTGAAGAGAAAATGATGAGTTGGCAAGATCTTGGGTTGAACCACTAAGTCACTAACGTTAAAGTCTCACATTGAACAATTAAAGAGAAAGTCATGGGTGAATATGATCATGGTTAAACAAGCTAATAAATGTGGACTCTAACAAATATTGAGGTTGAATTTAGTCCGAGATAAACTCAATTCCTACAAAAAAAGTCTAATGTCCTTATATGATTTATATCCTATTATATTTCAGCCTCGTTTGTGGATAATCTAACGATTCAAGGGGGCTTATTTTTAACTTTCAAAAACTCCAAGGTTTGTTTAATATTTTCAAAAACACTTCGCGGGAAGTAGATTTAAGTAACTCTAAAAATGATAATAAGGAAAAGTCTGTGCACTTGGAGATGATTTTCATACCTTCGAGAATACCACAAATAATCACTTTGGTCAGCTGTAGTGTTTATCTGCTCTAATAACCCAACTCTTGTAAATGCATTATTGCTTGATATACCAACAGGTTCGTTAATCCAGCTCCAGTCAGATAGAGATGCTTCAGAGGTATCCACATTAGAAGATTGACTCACGAATCTGGAAATGGTTGAAACAGAGTTTATCTGTCACCATGAAATAAAAATCTTAGCATAATGTGGAATGAAGTTGGTTAAAAGTCTCAATAACTTGTTTGGTGGGCAATATATGAGTAAATTTTGGATGTGGGATACTTGAGAATGGTATTGTGGATATGTCTTCTAAGAAGTGTTAGGTGCTAGGAAAGTTGTTGACTAGTGCCTAGGACCTAGGCAGGCTTAGGCGGAAGAGGCAGGGTCATAGGAAAATCAAAGACTAACTAAATTCAAAGTTGGCCGGTAAAACAACTCATTTATAACTTTTATCGAAAAAATTACGTATAGGAAAAAATGTTGAACAAAATTTGTGCGGGTTGGGATTAGGTGGGAATAGTTTGGAAGAAAAACTTAGACCGCTGAAGGAAGCCTAGAGCCAATGCAAATATTTTATTGAAGAAAATAGGTGAATGAGATCATTGTTAATAGTAAAAGGGTGGGAGCAAATTACCTTGGCGGTATTAAATGCCACATTCTTGCAATCTGGTAAGATGCTAACTGACCAGGCCGGTAAGTGATAAGAATTGCCATTGAAGTTAACCATTGCATCGGATTGGGGACCAAAATTTGCCAGGAAGGCAGAGCATAACCCTGATTCTGTTTTCTTATACATAGTGGCCTGAAACATGAAATAGTTCCTTTTATCAAGGGAAAGCAACATTAAAATGTACAATGCATAATCCATATGATGTACTCCTATCCATTGCGTTAGATTCTCTTTTCTTTTCATATATCCATGTTGCCATAGATGTCCATACAAATTCTTTTATGAATCTGTTTAGATATTTTTAGACAACAAAACATATGGTAATGCATATGGGGTAGAGAATTAGGACATATGAAACTGTCCATATATCTACCTCCAAATTCGAGCCAAGAGAAGTGGTGGTTGCATCAGTTGACACCATAGCCTCTTCACAAAGCTTTATAGCCTTATGCAGATCTTTCAAATGTCCATATTTTGGTTGTCTTAGAAGGCCTGAAGAACACAATAAAGTCATTTCAATCTCTTGTTACCATTCTGGATTTTGGAAAATCATAGTATAGATATTGTGGAATTAGACAAACTATTCCCTCTACACCATTCTTGGATTATTAAGACTACAACAAGTGATCTCAACAAGCAGAGAGATTATGAAGGTATTAAAGACTAATATGTTTACCATATTCATCAAGGGGAGCATCATAATCATAGCTTGTTGAAATAAAGGGTCCTCCACTGGATCGGCCAAAGTTAGTTCCTCCATGATACTGTTTAGCATAAACCAGTTTAAATTTGCAAATAGCACCATTGATATTGTCACATGAGTCTGGTGGAAAAAAAACTATAACTTTGATTTGAAAACACAAGGGATTATATGAATGACAAAGTACCATATAATAATTTTGAAAGGTTCCACTGCGCTGATAGAATCTGGCCACTGCAAAAGCAAGATCTTCCACAGGCCTGTATGGTACAGGACCACCGAATGCAAGAAACCTAACATTTCAAGGAATCAAACAGGATTACAAATAATAGCATACTTTGGCCTTGGCTATTTGATCATTCGTATAACTCAACCACCATTTGCGGACTAAAAACTTAATGTGATCATGGGAATCTAGCCAATTCATATACTATCCTCCGTATCGCATTAGTTGCAACATTGGAATATATGCACTATTCATGTACTCTACTTTGACTACATTTTATTTATTAATGTATGTGAATTATTTTTTTTGAAAAATATTGTTAAATTCGTCTCATTACTAAGTTTTATAATCTGATTTTTATTTTATTTTTACTAATACGGAATTAAATATAATGACAGTCAAAGTTGTGCGTTGGAAAACGTGAAAAAGGGAATGTTGCAACTAAAAAGAGACGGAGGAAGTACATTATTTGTAGATTAATTTCATTATTTAGTCCAGTAACTTATCACTGTGCCCAATATGAGTTATTCAATTTCATTCAATTGCAGATTATTCTGTCATGCAACTAATAAACTTACCCACATTAAGAGCTTTTCCACCAGAGTGTACAAATTCCACGGGAAACTACATGCTGGCACCTCCTATTGCGGTGGACTTTTCCAGTAGAATTTGCATTTTCTGGCACAAAAGTCCTTAATATGGCCAAAGTCATTAGTTATAATAAGACACAATCAGCTCGTGAATAAAGATACAGTACAAATAATTGGAACATGGATAACTCATGGGACTAAATCAGCAATCTTTCTTATGTATATTTATAATGGCACAGACTAGCTTAGGGAGTAAGCGAATCTTACCATCCACTCCAATTCTCTGTCCACATTTTCGGTGTCTTGGCAGAATTTGGGGTAAAGTTATCACAATAGAACCCATTGCACGTGTTTATCTGTCATTAATCAAATCATTGCTTAATCAGTTACCTGCTTCTGTTTCTGAGCATATTGTAAAACAAGATGAGCTCAATTTATACACACACACTAAAAATGGGAGCTCACAATAGGATCAGGGGCATCGGCTTGCTGACACATAATCCAGGGTACCCCTGTATCTAAAGAGGTAGCCATGGCTGCTGCCCAATTGATGTATGATTTAGCACGAGGACCAAAGCTTGAAGCAATATTACCGTACTCGTTTTCAATCTGAAGCATAAATGGATATAGTTTTACTATGTTAGGACCATAAACATCACCTTAACTCTAAATTGTGTGGCATGTCCACTATAGGTAGACATATACCTAATCCAAGGTGATCCTTCCTAATCTTTCCAATTGGGACTTGGATTGATATGTTACAACCTTATACTTTAGACGATTAATTACCACGTGCACAAAGCTAATACTAGTTTAAATTTCATCCTAAAGCCTATATTAGTTAGTATCCTTATATCTTATCATCGTGAATGTTTAACAATAACAAATGAAGAAATATGAAACCTGAGACAATATAATTGGGCCACCTTGGGAAGCATAGAGTTTTTCTTGCTTCATCATGTCAACAATCATGGCAGTAAATTTCTGCATTTCAACCTGTAATACAAACTCCTTTACTAATAATGGTTTCCAATCTCAAGATTGAAAGTAGCAGCAAGAAGGTTGAGATGGAAACCTTGAATGGCTCATTGTCAGTCCGAAATTCAATTCCAGGTATAAAGTGCAACCAGAGAGGAAACCCACTGTTCAAAATTCCAGATCATTTACCCAGAATCAGTCTCAGAATTTCCAAAAAAAATTGATGAAAATAGTGAGAAACTAAATGTGTACCCATAGTTCCACTCAGCACAAACGTAAGGCCCAATCCGTAGATGAACATATAAGCCAGCATCCCCAACCAATTTCACAAACTTCACTAAATCTTTCCTTCCTTCAAAATCGTACTGCAGATTTTTTGTTAGCAGCAGGTCAGTTCCCTTTTTTAGTTGTTAACCTAAATTCAATTTATCCTGAATTATTATCTATAGAGTTTAATAATGATTCTATGAAAATATAATACTCCTGATTATGCAGTTCCTACTTTGACATTTTGAGGGATATTTTTTTAATAGACCATGAAAGAAATTGTGTCGATAATTTGTAGGAATCACAAGAAAGAAATTTGAGTGAAAATCTTTTTTTTTTTTAATAATTCTTCTCGTACACACATTACTTCATTTTTTATACACTTTTACGTCTAATTCATTTGTGAAGATTTTTTTGTCTGTCACAAACAAACATATTTTGTTTCAAATTCGGATTTAATGCACCAAACCCCCTCGTGAAATAAAAATTCGGCGCATTAACCCCTGTGATTTAAAAAATGTGTCAACCCCCAGTGTTAACATTAATCATGCGCCAAACCCTCTCCAAGAACAAATTTAATTTCAAAAAAGATGAAAAATGATTAGTTTTTTTGTATGATTTAGAAATTTTGACAAAGTTACTTGCATATTCAACCATATTATTAAAAAAAATGATTTTCAAAATGGTAAAATTTGTTCATGAAGGGGATTTTACGCATGATTAATTAAAACACTGGGGGGTTTGACGCATTTTTTAAATCACAGAAGGACTAATGTGCCGAATTTATGTTTCACGAGGGTATTTGGTGCATTTAACCCATACAAATTCTCTACTTTTTTGTAATTTGTATGTGGAACGTTGTATGTGTAACTAAGGATGTCGATTAAATAATACTACTTATAAATTATAATTGATATATTTTTAAATATTAGGTACTGATAGATATTTTATTTGGGGTGGTAAAAAATTACACGCTCTTTGTAACATAGTGCAATTATTTCACGTGCAATTTAAAACAAATTGTGCATCTAATTAAACAAAATATTTTTATTTTACATGCCACACGAATTTGATACATTTTTAAACTCCGGTTGATTCATAAGCATAATTTATAAATTATGTGAGATTTTGGTGCAATAATTCCCTTTTAAATACTCCCTTCGTTCTTTATTAAGTGTCCCCGCTTTGGCATGAGTTTTAAGGAGAAAGTAATAGGGATAATGTAAATGATAAGTAGAAAAGAGAAAGAGGTAAGGGTAGTAAAAGTAGGGGTAAAAAGGTATTTTGATTGAAAAAACTTATCAAAAAGGAAAAGATGTAGAAATAATTAAACACAAATGCTAAAGGTACTCCAAAGTGTACCCTATTTTTACCCACCCTCTAATGTGTGGCCATAAAGGGTGCAAATCATTTAAATGAATTGCCCCATTTATGGTCACACATTAGGGTACCTCTAGCAACTCATAGTTAAAAACGTTCCAAAAAAAGAATATGAGACGGTTAATAAAGAACGGAAGGAGTAATACCACGGTTTATCTTAATAAACTAAAAATTCTCCAAATGGCCCTCAACTATCTATAAACAACCTGATTCTTTGTAAATTATGCCGTCATTTGTTATATCTAATTTCATAAATAATACTACCCCGTTCCGTTGGACTTTGGCAAGTGCAAAGTAAATGAAAAATAAGAATAGTAAAAACTGTGTGGTTCAGATTTGTGCAGAAGAGAGAAATGTACAGAATCACAAATTAGTTGCTTTAATAGGAAAGTGACAAAGTTTCTTGGGAAAACCAACAAACTCCCTCCAATGGGACGGATGGAGTATTGAAATAATTCGAGTAGGTTCATACTCCTCCGGTCCTTAATTAACTTTACGCTTTCCTTTTTGGTCCGTCCCATATTAAACTTTACACTTCCTTATTTGCCTTCTTTGAAAAACAAATCTACACCAAACAGTGTCAAACAACGTCAAACAGTGCCAAAAAGTGTACTCTACAGTGCCAAAGTGTAAACTCAGTGAAGGACCGGAGGGATATTTTGTCTTACAAACCATCGCACCTTACCCGAACATACTCTAAAACATAACCAATCTGATCTAGAAATTGATGTGTTTTTTAGGCTTAGCCGTGGTCTATAAACATGTATGCGCGCTTAGAAAAGCAAACAAAAATCTCCCATAAGTGGAAACAATTAATTAAAGTTAATGGTACCAACCTGGTTACGAATTGGTTCATGCAAGTCCCAGAAAACATAAGTCTCAATGACATCTAAACCTCCGTCTTTCGACTTTTCTATCAAATCCGGCCACATCTGCATTCCGTCATACATAACTTTCTTCACAAAGTTTGAAACTCTCGAAAAATAGTACGTTTCTCTCGGAAATTCTACTAAAATTCCTTAAAAATTTGTATACTTTTTTTAATATTGTTTTAATATTGTAATACCGTTTTCTCAGTTCACTTTTTTTCTCATGAATTTCATGTTTCCGTGAACATAGACACATAGCGTATATTATAATCAACGAAAATACTACCTTCGTCCCGAAAAGGTTTGACAAATTTACTTTTCTTGATCAATGACGGCAAACTTTATGCAATGATTTTGGTTATTATATTTGTATATAATTTATAAATTTTATACTTTTATGAAAATATTTTCAATAAGGAATATTTTGATATAAATTTCATATTCTAAATAATTTCGTATTAAAATATATCATTGGTCAAAATTGGGTGTCAATCTGAGGGAGTATGAAATAGTACGTACATGAGGGGTGCTGCGAGGGTAGTGAATGGAGCCCGAAACCAAGACTCTACGCTTGCCGTCGATGACCAGCGCTCGGTGGTCGTACGTCACATTGGCGGCGAATGACGTCAAGCACTGCAGCAGAGCCACCGCCAGCACCGCCGGTACTAATAGACCATGTCTTCCTCCTCTTCTCATGATCCTGAACGAGAGAAAAATGTGTGTACCTTTATTTGAAGGACAGGATATTATAGTGAGGAAGAGGCATTATAATTAGTGTGTAAAAGTGGGATGCTTTTTGAGAAAGAGAGAGAAAATAAAAAATTGGGGAAAATGGTTATCTTATAAGTCTTGGGAGGAGTGTAAACAGTGTTTGTTTGGATGAAAAGGGTGTGGGGGGAAGTTGCTTGCTTGAAGCAGATAGATACCTTAATTGGCTTCTAGTGTTTGTGATGATAGGCTTTGCTTAACTCCAAGAATATAGTGTTTGTTTATTTAATTATCTTATCTTAAATTGATTCATTCCACATCATGTTATTAAATTATTAGGGATTATATATATATATATATATATATATATATATATTCCATATAGTATGAATATAGAAGGAACGACCAAGACTTTTGTCCGTCAAGCTTAAAAAGTGGCCTATATAAATGATGTTTTCTTCCCTGGGATTTCTATGGTTCTTTTCTTCTATCATTTTGACAGTGGTGTTATGGAAGATTTCTTCTCAAATTAATGAGGACGGAGGGCTGTGAATGGGATCCGAGCAATGGAGGATGAAGATGAAGTCATGATGATCCGGCCCTTCCTGAACCATCACCATAGAGGATATGTGAGACTAGGTTTCCCGCCGCTGCCATGAGTTATCAGATCCATCAGTTTATCTTTTTTAATTTCGTTTTATTCAGGTTTAGTTTTTTAATAAAGAACCATGTTATTATCGTTTTGGTTTTTGTTAAAGTTCATGGTACTAGGTTTATTAATATGAGTGAGGTTTCAGCTAAATTTGACATGATTAGTGGGGGACACATCTATTTGTTCACCAATGGCTATATTATGTCTGTCTGGTGGTTAGCGATTCATTTTTTCTCTTTAGTTGGAAGGTGAAGATGGTAGTTAATGTTATCATTTTGATATTGATACATCAATCCATCCTCATTCTAATGATATAAAAAAATTGACTCCCTCTTCAAAAATGAAAAATACTCCATACTATCTATATACTCCATATAATATTTCATAATCAGGCCGGAGAGTAACGCGCCGCAACTTATCCGTTCTTGATGTGATGGCGGCGCAACCAACGGAGGAGTCATCCGCTACCACTAGCTCCTCCGCCTTCAATCTCTGACTCTCTTTAATGCTTGTTACCTTCAATGAGCTGGCTGTGTCCTCCCAGACAACGGCCCCTCCCTCCAAATTAATTTCTCCTATTTTGAAAACATATATTATCGGTACCAAAGCAATAATGACATAACAATTAACAACTCGTCATTTATTATTAAAATAAGATGACATTGCAGGTCTTTTCTTTCTTTATTAATCGCAATAGTTTGATTTTTCTATTTGTTATCATATGATTTGATCATTTCATTTAATTTTGTTTCATAAATATCACAAGAAGATTATGTTTTAAAAACAATTGTTAAGAGAACAATAACAAAATTTGAACTCTGGTCTTTGGTAAAAATTACTACGTATCTTTTAAATTAAGCAAGCCAATATCCGGTGGAAGTGTTCTTTTAATTTGATGAAAATTATTTTCACAAAAGTATAAATTTATAATTATGATTTACTAGAAAATTGAAAACGACAAAGACGAGAGTGTCTCAGCATGTTCTGTAATTTCTTATTTTTAATTTACTTTTGAAACACAATTTCTAGGATGCGTTATTTTCGACTTGAAAATCACTTTCTCATTATTTATCACACTCTCATTTTTACATTTTTATTCTCGAAATGGCGTAATTTGATTTGAAATGAAGTCTATGAATTACCCTTCAAATCTCCTAGACAATTAATCCGGATCTGATCACAGTCAGTCTCGTCAATTGAGCAACTTCGTGAAGGTAGGAAGAATCATTGTGAGCAAAACTTCTCAATTCTTCCATAAATGTACCTAGCAAGATTCGAACCCGAGACTTCCGCTAGGACACGATAACCTTCCACTCACTGACCTCGAATGGTTGGTTAAAAAATGACAGCCCATATTTAATTTATCATGGTGATGCGTATGTCATAATTATTTTATCAAAGTACGTAATATCGAAGTATGATTTCGAAAGCAGTTACTCCGTATTTATTTTAACATTCTACTCTATTTATTTTAATTAATATGTTGTTGTTAGTATGAATACAAAATACTATCTCCATCCCGAAAAGGATTAACAAATTGACTTTTCTTGATCAATGATGGCAAACTTTGAGCAATGATTTTTGTTATTATATTTGTATAAAATTTATTAATTTTATACTTTTATAAAAATATTTTCAATAAGGAATATTTTGATATAATTTTCATATTCTAAATGATTTCTTATTAAAATATATCATTGGTCAAAATTGATTGTCATTGATCAAGAAAAGTCAATTTATTAAACATTTTCGGGATGGAGGGAGTATTTCAGTTTTACCTATTTCGGATGAAAATGAAAAATACAGTATATCGTACTTCGTATAAGTTTCTCTTAGCATGACATTCGCCAAGCGCATCTTTACCAACTCATACCTTCTTTATTGCTATGAATTTATGAGCTTTTAACTACTTTTGCAAATTGAGTTGGACTTGGGATACACACTTTTTGTGTACACACTTTTTATACATGTCTGTGTAAGGTTTTTTATGTCTGTACAGACATAACGTATTTTAAAAATACAGTATGTATGTACAGACATAAAAAAAACCTTACACAGACATGTGTAAAAAGTGTGTACGCAAAAAGTGTGTACCTTTAGATTTTTTCTTGCAAATTTGGCCGTTTTACTCTTACTTTGAGAACTAAAAGTATTTAAACTTTTTTGAAAAAAAAGTGTTACTACACATAAGTTGTACACATCTTATGTATACCTTAAATTAATTGTTGGTGTATGTATACAAATAATTCGTTAAAAAATCTACATTTACTCGTGGAAGAAATTAAAAGTGAAGAAAATATTATTTGTTTAAGAAAACAAACTACTCCGTAATTCACTAAAACGTCAAAGAAAACTATTGGAATGATGGCCTGCAATACTAAACAAGTGTAGAGTGAATAGTTAAACACTATTACAACTGTTCAAAGGAACTTGATGCTGAGTTTGAACAGACTCAACAATCTCCTCATAACTCATTGTGTTTCTTGAATAAATGAAAACTTATGTGTGTTTAATATTTAAATGTTTCCTTCCTAGACTTTGGAAGATAAAAAGGTTAATTGTTAAAGATTTAATTCACTTCTTGAAAAGTTAAACTTGAAAACATCAAGTAATTGAAGTAGAATAAGTGTTTCGATTATCAAGATAAAATAGTATTTTTGGTGTGTATTCGATAATTAAGTATGATGGGGTTATGGGACTAGGCCCAGAGCCTAATCGACCCAGACCCCGAACTTGGACCAACGGGCCCAAGCCCAGCAACCCAGAGCTCGAGTCAGCCCAACCAACCAGGGCAATCAAGGAGCGGAAGCCCAAGAGAGCCTGTCGACCAGCCCAGTAGGGAGCCTGTCTTCCAGCCCAGTGGGGAGCCCGCCTTCCAGCCTAGCTAGGAGCCTGCCGACCACCATCCCAGCTGGGAGCCTGTGGTCCAGCCCAACTGGGAGCCTGCGGTCCAGCCTACCCGGGAGCCTGCTTTCCAGCCCAGTGGGGAGCCTACCTTCCAGCCTAGCCAGGAGCCTGCCGACCACCAGCCCAGCTGGGAGCCTGCGGTCCAGCCCAACTGGAAGCCTGCGGTCCAGCCTACCCGGGAGCCTGCCATCCAGTCCAGCAGGAGGGAGCTCAAGCGTCCAGCCTGCCAGCCAGGCTGACCTGCCAGCCAGGCTGACCTGCCAGCCAAGAAGAGTAACGGGCAACAATTAATGCGCGACTTAATTATGTGTTTAATTCTGTATTAATGTTGTAATTAATTTAGTCATTATTATGTTCGACAGTTACCATTTGTAATCGCCTATAAAAGGCAATTCGAATTTCAAATACAGATATGCTATTTCTGGCTAACTTTCCATATTCGTACTTTCCTAATTCTTGCTTGAGTGTCGTACGTAGCTTTCCTAAAAGCCTACGAGCGTCCTATTTTGGACCAACATTGGTGCTTTCATTGAGAGCCTCTATTGTCTCTCACATAACTGGAGTAGGAATCACACAGGAAGATGGCCGGAATCTCGTCTCGACGTGACCATGTCTCAGTCCACACCGAGGAGTCCGCCCGGTCTGGCCGCCAGTGTGCCCTCGACAACCATGCACAGGGCAGGAGGGCGGCGCGCCAAGGCGACCTTCGGAACCAATTATCAGGCCACGGCGACCTAAGGACGACGCTCAACCACACCCAAGGTGAGCGCTCGGTCCGCAGCCGGCGGGGGGGAGGCCGACGTCATGCTCCGCGCATGGACCCGGCTCGACTCAATGCCGGGGTGGAAGCCCTGCAGGAGGCAACTCGGGTTCTGGGGACCTTGGCTCAAAATTTCCAACAGATGGTGTCTGGCGGAAATGTGGATGAGCCTGCCCGTCAACAGACGCCAGCGGATGTGGAGGTGTCCTCCAGGCGGCGTGATGAGCGACGCTCTGGATCCAACCAAAACAGGGGGGAAGAAGTCTCCCATCGGCGGGGGGGAGAAGTCTCTCAGCAGCCTAGCCGACCCCATTGGCAGACGGGGAGGGGCGCCCAGCAAGGGCGCCCAACGCAGATGGAAGGAGGCGAGCCCTCTCGCCACTCTCACCGGGCGAGCAGTCGGACTGGCTCCACGGAGAGGCAAAATGTGGGGCCCCGACCTCACGTGCACGGACGACTTGGAGGTGCCGCCGGACATGCCCAGCCCCGCGCTGGAGCTGTCCGGGGGAACCCACCGCCGTCCGAGGTGGAAGATCTACGACAGCGCCTTGATGAGTTGAGAAGGAGGGTCGTCGGGGGGGAGCCTTACACGGCCGACCTCCGGATACCCGAACCCTTCACCCGGGCGGTCATGGATGCGCCGTTGCCGAGGGGCTACAAGCCCTGCGCCATTGAAGCATACAAGGGCGCTTCTGACCCCCAACATCATGTATCTCGGTACCTTTCCTACATGGTCATGATGGGGTATGAGGACGCCATCCGATGCCGCGGTTTCTCCGCCACTTTGGATGGCCCGGCTCGTGAATGGTATGATTCTCTACCCGACGGGAGTATCACGAATTTCCGTGAGTTGGCTCAG